CACCTTTTTTTTGCTGTATATTGACACTAGCAATTTAGTGACTGAAAACAGTTTAAGATTCCTCACAGTTCTTTTTGTCCACAGTGTATATCTAATTAGCATTTACCATCAAATTACTGTTCATAATGTATGTTCAACTCAGGACGTACCATTAAATTACTGTGCTTTAACGTCTCTTAAAATAAATCCTACTTACGTGGTTAAGCTACTAGCTCAATACGTGGTTCAGTTCATCTGCTTAATTTTTCTTTCACGTTGTAGAGACTGCATTTTAAGTTAGTTTGGTTGTATCAGGTTGTAAAATACAGACATTGTCCTGGAGGAGGGATTGGAGAAGGACAGCTCCTGGGTCCAGCCGGGCTCACGTTTTTAAAAGGCCGCAGCGCACGCGCAGCGGCGGCTGTTGGCGGCCCACGGGCCCTGGAATATTTGCTGCCGGGCCCCCACAGAGGTCTCAGCCCTCCCCTGCCGCTGTGTGCCCCGGTCTGCACTCTCCCTTCCCCTAGAGTCGGTCTTGCTCCTTCCCTGACTGAGGTTCTGGCTCGTCTTCCTGCTGGTTTTTAATGTAAGCAGACATGTAGACATATTCATAGTCTCTCTATTGACTTCCCACCCCCCACATTCTCCCTGAGCCGTGGTCCCGAGGTCGGCCCCCTCCCCGCCCCCGCCCCCCTCCCCCCGCCCACCGCACCCTCTGGGGCAGGGAGGTGGCCTGCGCTTTTCTCAGCGGCAGAGCGCCCTGGGGTGGGGGGGGGGCGCAGAAGCTCATTTCACCGACGCCTTCTTGACATTGCTTCCGGTTCTTTTGGTTCTTGGTCCTTACCCTCAGTGCTGCTTTCGGTGGCCTGGTGTGTGTGTCTCTTTGGGAGTTTTGCCAGGGTCGCCGTGGAGCCGGTCTGTTATGTGAGGCCGCGGGTCGTGCGCGCGGCTGGGTGACGGGCCGTGTGCGGCTGGGCAGAGGCCGCCCAGCTCTCTGCACGGCTGCTTGCCATTCGCCCTCCTGCTACCAATGCCCACAGCCACCAAAAGTTGCCCAACTTTTGGCTTTTGCTAATTTGAAGGTAAGAAATATCTTTGTGTAATTTAAATAGTCATTTCTTAGGATCAAATCGAAGGACCAGTTGCATTTCCTTTTATACGACCTTTCTGTTCATTTTTCTTACTCACTTTCTTTGCAGCTATTCGTCACTCTCATCTATTTTAGAAACTCTCTGTATATTAAGGATAGTGACCTTCGCCTCTCGTATCAGCTGCAAATATTTCTCCCGTTTGTCTTTTTTACTTTACATGTACGCTTACTGGTTTTCATGCCAGACAACAGCAGTTGTTGTTGCTACTATTTTCGTGCAGGCAGACCCGCCTGCCGTCTCTCTCAGGCCTCGGAGCGGCGGCGGGGAAGCTTCCCCCAGGCCCAGGCTGCAGAAAGACTCAGCCAGGTTTTCTTCTCACATTTGTATAGTTTCTTTTTTAAATGTGCATTTCCGATCCTTTTTGAGTTGACTGGTTTGATGGGCTGCTTTTCCTTGTGCGAATTTAAACTGTGGAGGGGCCCTTCCCCCCCCCCCCCCGCCACCCCGGTTTGCCCTCAGGCCTGGACCATGCGCCTCTGGGCCTTTGAAAGAGACCGGCACGGTCGGCACTAGGGAGAAGGCATGGTGGTCGGGGCAGAAGGGACGGGCCGGGGACTTGCACCCCATCCTGGGACCGCAGCTCCTACCTGCCAGGGAGGAGAAGGTTCAGGAGCATCTGCGGACAGTGGCCACTAAGCCAGGTATTTTGCCACTGTTAGCTCCTGAGCTGGAGGCTCTGTTATCATCCCCACCTTTGGGTGTGGCGACTGACACTTGCAGAGGCAAGTTGCAAGCCCAGGGCCGCCGGGCTGCGAGTTCTGGGTGTCGGCCTTCCCCTGGGGAAGGGGAGGCCCACGCAAGCCTCGCCAGCCATGATGTGGCATTGGGCACAGTCCCTCTGTCCTTTCCCTCCCACCCACTGTGGTCTCGGAGCTCCGTGGAGAATCAGGTTTCCTTTGTCTCCACGTCCCAGGCCACAGGAGCACCCTGTGCAGGAATGTCACCTCCCCGGCGCCTGCTGGTGTTGGCGGCAGCAGCTCTGTGGGTGTCGCCTCAGCTCCAAGTGCCAGTGGCCGGGACCGTCGGCCCAGGGAGCGCAGGGTCCCGTGGGCACCCAGAACAGTGCCCCCTCACCCTCAAGGCCGGGTGCCGAGGACTGGCGGGGCCCTGAGAGGCGCAGACTCCCCCTTGTTATCCTGCCAAGGCCAGACCCAGAGAGGGGAGGGAGCCCCCAGGCACACGGTCGGCTGGCCGGTGCTGGGCCAGGACGGGAGCCCCCCCGACCTCACGCCCTCTGATGTGGCAGGGACCCGGGGAAGGGAGAGCAGCGCCCTCGCGGGACAGCCAGGGCGCCAGGTTATCCGGGTTTGTCTGGCCGGCCGCGCAGCTGACTGCCTTTCAGGGCATCAGGTGGTTTCCGCCACAGCTGGGCATGGCAGGGTCACCGCCCCGCTTTCCCCACAGCCACAGACCTTTGGCCAATCACCCAACAGAGGCCCCCAGGTGCCAGGAGAGCCCCGGGAGACTCCCTCCTGGATCCAGCTGGTTAGGCCTGTGCGGCGCCAGCCCACGCCCCTGGGACAGGCCGTGCCAGCTGTCGGGTGATTAAGGTCGCTATAAACCCACCAGCCAGACGCGCGAACGGCCCCTCTGCTCTTCCCCAGGCACGAGCAGCTGTGGAGGCCAGTAAATCACGTTCTGGGCGATCGCCGCAAAGGTCGGCCCTCCACCTGCGGCAGCGTTATTGGCAAGGATCGTCCATAACACGGCTTGTTTCCCAGCCATTCGATTTTATGACGCCCTAATGAATTGGGCCATTTCCATTATTTGCAGGAAATGTACAGAACAGCGATTTTCGTTCTCCTGGAAAAGTTGGCCTTGGGAGGCGGTGGTGTGTTGGTGGGATGCACAGGCCGCGGACCCCCCCCCCCCCCCCGGGTGCAGCTCCCTCCGACGGTGGCGGCATCATGAGAGGATTTGTGTGGAACCCCCGGCTAGTGGCGGGCACTGACGGGCGCTCGGGGAGCGGCAGGGCCCTGCTCTCCCTGGTCCTCTCCCGGGTCGGCGTGTGTCCTGGGAGCCAGTGGGGGTCAAGGCGCGGAGGGGCTGAGGTGCTGGGGCTGACCCTGCCCTGGGGGCTGATGGCGGTGCGGGCCCACGTGGGTGCCCGTGAATGGCCTTCCTCTATGGGCTGGTGGGGCTCCGGGGGCTGCCGCGTGTCCCCCGCCACTGAGCCGCGTCCAGGGACACAGGTCGGGCCAGGCTCACCCCTCTCCTGGCTGTGCCGCCGCCGTCTTTGGTTCCCTGCTCCTTACCTGAACTGGTGATGGGGGAGGGAGGCGTTCAGGCTCCCCGCACTCGCCCCAGCCCGCTGCGGCCTAGGCGAGTAGAGGCATGGGGTGCCTGGTGCGGGGGAGATGGCAGTGGTGGGGGGGCAGGAGGAGCGGATGGATCTGGGCCCCGGAAAGAGGTTACTTCAGAGCCAAGATGATGAGGCCTCCCCAGTGTCCCTCCCCTCCCTCCCCAAGTAGATTCTAAACATCGCCTTGGGATGGGCTGTCCCTGTCCGTTGGAAGGTGGTGCAAGCTTTTCAGAGCAGATGCTGGGGGTGCCACAGCACCCCCAGGCCCTAGGCTGCTGCCCCAGCTCCCACCGGGCAGGCCGGAGCCTCTTGCCACAGCGCTGCCGCTGTGCTGTCCTGGCTGGGTCCGGGGCTCTCCTGTTCCACCTGCGGCGAGAGTCAGGCCTGAGGGCAGAGCAGGCCATGCATGGAGGGGCAGGCCAGCAGCGCCTCTGCGCCTGCCCTGTGTTTGGAGGCCTGCAGCGCCGCCCTCTCTCTTCTGCCCCCAGACCACCCTCGGGCCTCAGGGCATACCCAGAAGTCGCTGCCTTGGGGGCTACTTCTGAAGAGGCTCAGAGAAGACCAGTCATTTGTCGCCCACCCGCCCCAAGAATTTGTCCCTACATTTACTGAGGCAGGAACTGGCCTGCAGGCAACTGGGCTGTGGGCCCCCGGGAAGCTGCTGGGGCTGGGAGAAGTTCCCCACACCTGGCCCTGCGACCTTGGCGAGTCCCTGCGGATCTCTGAGCCTCAGTGCTCCTCATCTGCAGAATGGGTCCACAAGTGCCCTCCTTCTAAATTGGACTTCTGCAGCGCTGTATTTAATGGGAATTTGACATGTGTGTATTTGAAAGAGGGTGATAAAAAATAAAAGTCAGCAGCATTCAAAAGGCTGTGTGAATTCCAGGTTTTAAAAAATTTGTCAAGAGGGTTCAATGCGGGTCGAGGGACCGTGGAACGGTTCGTGCTGCGGCCGCGTGGTGGCACCCTGGGAGCTGGCGAACAGGCAGCGCGGGCAGCTGGCAGGCCCCAGGCGCTGTGCCCTGAGTCGGCATCACAGTTTAAAGCCCAGTCATCCGTGAATGTGTTCGGTGGAGGCTCTTGTTAGTCCTGGTGCTGGGCCCCTGCCTGCCCCTGGCCCGCACCCGCTGCAACCAGACCAGCTGCCGCGGAACGGCAGGTAAATGTGATAAAATGCTCTGGAGAAAGCGGAACAACTGCTGGATACTTAATCACAGCAGTTTACGAGGCAGGAGGCTTTGGAATATTCGCGATGATGCTAAGAAGTAGAAAAAGGCCTTGAAAGCCAACCTGCTCACTGTGGTTCTGGCTTCATGGTCTCCAGCTACACGGCTCTCAGCGCCAGTGGGTGTGGGTCGGGCGTGGGCCTCTCCATGAGGAGGTGCCGTCAGCCAGGCCACGGGAGGTATTGCAGGGTGGGTCCCCGTGGGGACAGACCTTTGCCAGGCGCTTGCCCGCACCAGCCCCCACTCCCGCTGCGTGGGCTGCCCAGCCCGGGAGAGCTTGCCCGCCCTGCTCGCGGACCTGCCTGCTCCTGGGCCCAGCCTGACTGCTGCCCATGCCTGCAGGTGGTGAGAAGCTACAAGGCGACCATCCAGCAGACCTTGGACATCCTCTTCCTCCAGGATGGCTCCGAGTTTCTGAGCAGCACAGATGCTTCAAGCAGGGACTCTGCTGACCGTACCATTATCGCCTGGGATTTCCGGAGCTCCGCCAAAATCTCCAACCAGATTTTCCATGTGAGAAACCCTGTTTGAAATTGCTTTCAGCTTCAGCTCTAGGACACATGCATGTAGCCCTAGGTTGTCTGGGGTCCTGGGTTACTTCCTGTGGGAGATAGTTCCAAAGGCAGGATCTTCGGAGAGAGACCAGCTGCCTGACATCTCCAGGGCAGAGGAAGGCCGCGGTGAGGTCCGGCCTCCCGGGAGAACCCTGTACAGGCTCCGTGTTACAGTAACTCCCTGGCTGTCCTCCCACGTGTCCCTGCCCAGCACAGCCACAGGGTAACGGTTTGGGGGCGCAGCCCAGTCCAGGAGGACGGGAGATGGCCCAGCAGCCCGGGACACTCCTCCATGCCCTCGGCCACTCCAGCCAGCTCACGGGTCCCTGTCCTGCCCCTGCAGAGTGGCTTTAGCAAGGGCTGAGACTCAGGAGTTCAAGCAGAATCCTGGAGTTAGACCGCCTGACTAATGGCCCTGTCCTTGTCACTTACAATCTAGGCTCCCTGTGCCCATTACTTAGCCACTTTGATTCTCATTTTCGTCTTAGAAAGTTGAGGTTGAGAGTATTGTTTGCCTCGTAGAGTGGTCTTGAGAAACAAAAGGGTATAAAACAGTACCAGTACAGGGGGTGCTCCATAAATGCATTGCCTATCAACACCGTACCCACCTCTACCACCACGACCACCACCACCACCATCACCACCATCACCATCACCACCATCACCACCATCACCACCATCACCACCACCACCACCACCACCACCATCACCACCACCGCCATCACCACCATCACCACCACCACCACCACCACCACCACCACCATCACCACCATCACCACCACCACCATCACCACCACCACCATCACCACCACCACCATCACCACCACCACCACCATCACCACCATCACCACCATCACCATCACCACCACCATCCACCACCACCATCACCACCATCACCACCATCACCACCACCACCACCATCACCACCACCACCATCACCACCATCACCACCATCACCACCATCACCACCATCCCCACCATCACCACCACCACCACCATCACCACCACCACCATCACCACCACCATCACCACCATCATCACCACCACCATCACCACCATCACCACCATCACTACCACCACCACCATCACCACCATCACCACCATCACCACCACCACCATCACCACCACCACCACCATCACCACCACCACCACCACCACCACCACCACCACCACCCACCACCACCATCACCACCATCCACCATCACCATCACCACCACCACCATCACCACCACCACCATCACCACCACCATCACCACCACCACCACCACCATCACCACCATCACACCACCATCACCACCATCACCACCCACCACCATCACTACCATCCACCATCACCACCATCACCACCACCATCACCACCACCACCATCACCATCCACCACCACCACCACCATCACCACCATCACTACCATCACCACCATCACCACCATCACCACCATCACCACCACCACCACCACCACCACCACCACCACCATCACCACCATCACCACCATCACTACCATCACCACCATCACCACCATCACCACCATCACCACCACCACCATCACCACCACCACCATCACCACCATCACACCACCATCACCACCATCACCACCATCACCACCATCACCATCACCACCATCACCACCACCACCACCACCATCACACCACCATCACACCACCATCACCACCATCACTACCATCACCATCACCACCATCACTACCATCACCACCATCACCACCACCACCACCACCACCATCACCACCACCATCACCACCACCACCACCATCACCACCATCACCACCACCACCACCATCACCACCACCACCACCACCACCACCACCACCATCACCACCACCACCACCACCACCATCACCACCATCACCACCACCACCATCACCACCATCACCACCATCACTACCATCACCACCACCACCACCACCACCACCACCACCACCACCACCATCACCACCATCACCACCATCACCACCATCACTACCATCACCATCACCACCATCACCCCCACCACCACCACCACCATCACCACCACCACCATCACCACCACCACCACCATCACCATCACCACCACCACCACCACCACCACCACCACCACCATCACCATCACCACCATCACCACCACCACCACCACCATCACCACCATCACCACCATCACCACCATCACCACCACCACCACCACCACCACCACCACCACCATCACCATCACCACCACCACCACCACCATCACCACCACCACCACCACCACCATCACCACCATCACCACCACCACCGCCACCACCATCACCACCACCACCATCACCACCATCACCACCATCACCACCACCATCACCATCACCACCACCACCACCACCACCATCACCATCACCATCACCACCATCACCACCACCACCACCACCACCACCATCACCACCATCACCACCATCACCATCGCACCACCACCACCACCATCACCACCACCACCATCACCACCATCACACCACCATCACCACCACCACCACCATCAGCCATCACCACCATCACCACCATCACCACCATCCACCACCACCACCACCACCACCATCACCACCATCACCACCATCACCATCACCATCACCACCATCACCACCACCACCACCACCACCACCATCACCACCATCACCACCACCATCACCACCACCATCGCCACCACCACCACCATCACTACCATCACCACCATCACCACCACCATCACCACCACCACCGCCACCACCACCGCCACCATCACCGCCACCATCACCACCATCACCACCATCACCATCACCACCATCACCACCATCACCACCACCATCGCCACCATCACCGCCACCATCACCACCATCACCACCATCACCACCACCACCACCATCACCACCATCACCACCATCACCACCATCACCACCACCATCACCACCACCATCGCCACCATCACCGCCACCATCACCACCATCACTACCATCACCATCACCACCATCGCCACCATCACCGCCACCATCACCACCATCACTACCATCACCATCACCACCATCACCGCCACCATCACCATCATCACCATCACCGCCACCATCACCACCATCACTACCATCACCATCATCTTTTATGATTTCAAATGAGCCATGGTTCATTTCTTTGGTGTTTCCACCCTGGATTTTAAACTGTCCCTCAGAAGTACACACACACCTTGTCCTCTCTCCGTTTCTCCCTCGTTTCCAGATGGCCCTCAGTGGCCCTGAGCAGACCTGCCACTGGGCCTTCACGGCAGGGCCCAGTGCAGCCTCAGGGAAGTCAGGCCCGGTGCGGTTGGCGGCGTGCCCAGCCTTGCTCCCTGCCTCCGTCAGCCCCGGCAGAAGCAGAGCATGGGAGGGGGAATGGAGTGCTGCTCGCCTAAGCCGCTGGTCCCCGGAGTTGCGCCTGCTTGTCGTCCGTGCGAGTGAGCAGGCGCTCCGCCGGGCGGCGTCACTCCGGGGAACTCCTTCAGGGGCTGCCACGGCATCCATGCCTCTGATGGGCACGTGCGTCGGCAGCTCTGGGTTATTAGCCTGGTTGCTCCCCAATTTGCCCTTGGAGTTTGGGCTCGTTAGGAGACCACTTAAGGACAACTCTTAGAACACAGAAGGCCAGGTGCCGTGGGGAAGGGAGTTTCCCAGGGAGCTTCTGTGTGACTAGGCCCGTCGAACAGTGAGAAGCCCCGCTGGGCTCTGGACAGTGTTCTCCCATCTGTCTTCCTGCTGGGTCACGCACCCTCTCACCCATGGTGCGTGCCGGCTGTGTGGGGCCCTGGCTGTGCTGCCCTGGAGCTGCTGGGGAGGCGGGGAGGCGGGCACGCAGGTCGTTTCTGTGCCGGGGCACCAGCATGCCACCACAGGCTCGGAGGCTTGAGCCATCGGAAACATATGCCCGCACGGTGCTGGAGGACAGCGTCTGGGCCAGTTGCTGGGCTGAAATCAAGTATGGGCAGCCCGCGCCCTCTGGAGATGCTGTGCAGAACCTGTCCCCTGCCGCTTCCGAGTCCCGTGGCGCCGGTCACACGGGCGGCGTGCCCCCTCTGGCACCAGCCGCCTTCAGTCGCTCTCTGCTCCGTGTTCACACCTCCCCGTGCGGCCCCGCCTCCTGGCGCCTGCCTCGCTTTGTGAGGACACCTGTGGCCACATTTAGGCAATGACAGGATCATCCCCCCAGGTCAAGGACCTTAGCTTAATTATGTCTGCAAAGACATACAAAGTGACATTCACAAGCCCCAGAGATTCGGGGCCCTCGTTCAGTCTACACAGGGACCTGGGCCACGGCGTGCAGGTGGCCCCCAGAAGCTGGAAGGTCAAGACACACGTGTCTACCTGGTGCACCCGGTGGGAACACAGCTCTGGGGACACCTTGCTTAGCCCAGTGAGACCCAGGTCAGACTTCTGACCTCCAGATCTGGAAGGGCATCAGTTTGTGTTGTTTCAAGCCGCTAAATTTGTGGCACTTTGCTATGAGAGCAACAGGAAATGCACAGACCCCCTCCGCTAAGGTCTGGGAGGGGGGCCTGGGGACCCCAAGCAGAGCGTGGGGCGGCGGGTCTGCAGGGGAGGCAGGCCCAGCCGGAGGGTCCTCACCCCGCCTGTGGCTTGGTGTTTCTCAGGAGAGGTACACCTGCCCCAGCCTTGCCTTGCACCCGCGGGAGCCTGTGTTCCTGGCACAGACCAACGGCAACTACCTGGCCCTCTTCTCTGCCGTGTGGCCCTACCGGATGAGCAGAAGGCGGCGCTATGAAGGGCACAAGGTACCCCTCCCCTGTCCCTTCCTGGGAGAGCTGAGCACTGGCCCCAGAGACCCCACCAGACAATGCCAGCGATGGACTCGGGGCCCAGAGCACATGGGCTGTCTGTCCAGCAGACCTTGTCCTCTGCTTCCCAGGCGATTTGTGCATGTGGCCTGGTGTCCACTCAAGGCCCCTGGCCATGTCTGGCGCTGCTCCAGCCCTGGCTGCTTGGCAGGAAAGAGTTCCCCTGATTTGTTGGCTCACAGGGATGTTCCTTGGTGGGGGCAGGACAGAGCGAGGGTGGGGCCTGTCTCACGGGGGCCTGGGATGTGGCGGCTGTCAGCCGGCTGGACACTGCCAGCTGTGCCGGAGTTGGGTTCCACTGGAGCAGTCTTGTGACACGGTCCGCCCGGGACCCGGCCTCCAGGAGGAGCTGGGCGCTGCCTCTGGCCTGCCCCGGCTCTGCCTGCCTCTCGTGTGGACGTGATGCGCCCCCCACCCCCGCCCAGCGCTGAGGCTGCGCGCAGGGCACAGCACGGCCTGCTCACCCCGTGTCACCCCTGCAGGTAGAAGGCTACTCGGTGGGCTGCGAGTGCTCCCCAGACGGAGACCTGCTGGTGACAGGCAGCGCCGACGGCCGGGTCCTGCTCTACTGCTTCCGCACAGCCAGCCGGGCGCGCACACTGCACGGGCACACGCAGGCCTGCGTGGGCGCCACCTTCCACCCCGTGCTGCCCTCCGTCCTCGCCACCTGCTCCTGGGAGGGCGACGTGAAGATCTGGCATTGAGCTTCCTGCGCGGAACCTTCCGGACGTTGGCTGCCCGGCCCCCTTCCCTGGGGGCGGGTGAGACTAGGTGCCAAGGTTGGCTTCCGGTCAGAGCCGGTTGGAAGCAGCTCCCACCCCATGATCCTCAGTTTCCCTGCCTGTGAAATGGGGCAAGAACCTGTGGAGTCCAGGTCGTGGGGGCGGCATCGGCGAGAGCGCTGGCTCGCCGCTCGCCAGCTCAGTAAACGCGCGGGCTGCGCTGTCTCTCAGGCGATTTCCGTGATGAGTGTGTGCTGGCTGTTCCTCTTGCCGTCCCGCTCACGCCGCTGCAGCTCCAGAATGAGAGTGCCGGGGGCCAAAGGCGGGGCAGCCCCTCTTCAGGTCCTGACGGGGGGTGCCTGGGAGAAGGGGTTCTGGGCTTCCGATGTGTCCTCAGGGACGCTGCCAGAGTGCGGCAGGCCCACCAGTGTCACGAGGGCCAGCCCGGCCTGCTCCGGCACGGGCCTCTCGGCCCCTCGGCCCCCGACCGCAGGCGCGGCCAGCTGGCTCCCGGGGTCTGCCAGCCCTGTCCGGTGTGCATGCTGCCCACGCGCGTGCGTCTGCCTGAGGGCAGGAACGACGTGGACAAGCACAGGGCCCGGGAGGGACCTCAAGGAGCCAGGCTGGGAAGGCCCAGCTGCTGGGCTCTGGGCAGGCTGACGAGCACTCAGCCCCACCAGGGCTGTACCCGAGGGGCGGTCCTAAGACCCTAGGCACCCACCCACGGGTCAGGACATAGGGGTCCCTGCAGCCTTGGAAGGCTTCCTGGAGGAGGCAGACTGCGGGCCATTGATGGGGCATCCCTAGCAGAGGACCTGAGGAAGAGGCCTGTGGATGGGCGGGCCCGGTGGAGCTGCCAGAGCGGTGGGCACCACCACTTCTCCGTGTGTTCCAACTGTGCAGTGCCCTGGAGGTGCCTGCCATCTGCCAGCCCCTCCCTCTCGTGCAGTGACTTTATTGGGAAGAATGGCAGGCGTGCTCTACGCTGCGATCTCTGTCTTTTTCTAAACGCTTTCTTCCAAGGAACATTCTTAGAGGTTCCCTCTGATCCTTTGCAAGGTGGCGGGGAGTTCACCACTTGCAATTTTAAAGTAAGAAAGCTAAATTTAGAAAGTGTGGAGCAGGACTGGAAAAGAAGTGTGAGCCTGCCTGCGCCCACCCTTCCCGGGCTGCGTGCTCACCTGCACATCACCTGCCCACCCGAGCTGCCAGCAAGGCCGTCGGGGGGAAGGACCCCTCGTCTGGAGATGCTGGCGTGACCGTGGCGTGTGTGGCTCCTGCCCGCGGCCCCTGGAGAGGCGGGCCTGGTCCCTACTGTCCGGCGCAGGAAACCACTGCTCGGAAGGCAGGGGGACAGGCCCAGGGCCACCTGATTCCAGAGCCTGTGCCCTTCCCCTCCCTGGAGACCCCTGCTGCTCAGCCTGGAGCTCTGCATGGGACTGTCGCTTATGCAGGGCTTCCAGGGGATCCCTGTCCTCAGGCGCCAGAGGGGAAATTGGATCGGAGGCGCCTGGGACTTGCCCAGAGCCATGCAGCTGGGGGCAGAGCCCGCTGCCCACTGGGGTGCGAAGGAACACGTGTGTGTGGGTGGGTAGGTGGGGAGTGCAGAGACAGGGTCTTCGGGTGTGTTGGGACTCTGCATGGTGGGAGCCGGCGGCTGGCAGAGCCGGCCCCACACCAGCTGCGGTTGGCTCTGGGACCCCGCAGGGCAGCTCTGTGAGGCCTGCTGCCACGTGGGGGGCCTAGGGCCCTGCGTCTATAGGGGCCCCTGGGCTGAGGCTACATGGCCCTTGGGGTCCTCAGCCCTGCTGCCCAGTCACAAGGGTGTGGGGCTGGGAGGCCATTGAGAGCCCCTGCTGGGGGCCCAGGCGGCTGTCCCTCCACCCTCTCAGTTGCTCCCAGATCAGTGAGGGTCACTCCCTCCATCTTCTGATGGGGAAACAGCCCTAGGGAGGGGGGTGGACCCCTGAGCCTCTGCACAGCCCCTTCTGGCCCCGGGGGATGCTTTCTAGGCATATCTGCTTCTGGGGGAGGGCAGCTGGGCCAGCACTGGCCTCCTGCAGAGGTAGGTCCAGGCCAGGAGCCACAGCCAAGGCCCCCCCAACCCCAGCTCGAGGTCAACTGGCAAGAGGCGGAGCTGAGGGACGTGAGCTGAGTGGGTGAAGAAACTTGAAGGCAGACATCGGGCCAAGGTGGTCCGCGGCGGCAAGTGCCAGGCCCTGGGGGCAGCAGTCACAGAGCCCCTGGAGGAGGGACTCCGCCCCAGGCCTCGCAGAGCCTGCAGGTGCACCCCCAGGGCATCGCAGGTAACCGGGCGCTCGGAGGAAGGAGGCGGCGTGGCAGGAGCCTGAGAAGCACAGCCGCACAGACCCCGCGAGACGCCAAGTGCCCGGCCCAGGCCGGGAGCCGCTGGGCCCACGGTGCCTGAGGAGCTGGAAGACACGCGTGGAGGTTTCTCCGGGGAATGGGAACCTCTTAGGAAGTAGATTCGCAGCACAAGCAGACAGCACTTGAGACGGAAAACACTCAGAACTAAACCCGAACACCCAGCGGCCGTGGGCCGCCCAGAGCGGCACCAGGCCCAGGCTGCGGTGAGGGCTGGGAAGGGGAGAGTGGGCAGAGACCTGTTTTTAGAAAAATAACAATGGAAAATTTTCCAGAATTGATGAACTACACCAATCCACAGACACAAGACTCCTGTGATTTCCTAAGAACAAATCCACAACCAGACACACTTCAGGGCAATGGCGGAAAACCCATCAAGGGGGAAGACCCAAGGCGAGAGGGGGGGATGACAAGTCAGGTGACCAGCCAAGGGAGCGCGAACGGCATCCCTGGATGCTGCCTCCCCTAACGCGGGCAGAACAGAGACACCCGGGAAGTGGAAACGGGGGTCTGTCACTGGCAGAGGCACCCCGAGGGAGATGCTAAGGAGTCTTCAGGCGCCGTCCGAGGTGCAGGAGAGGACGGTGGCCTCAGCTGGGGACGGTGGGTGGCTTGGGATGGGGGACGTCTGCGTTGTGCGGGAAGGACAGCTGTCAGGAGCCGCCCTGGTGCAGAGCGAAGGACAAGCGGGTGGGGGGACGCCCAGGGCCACGTGCCGCGGGAGCCAAAAAGGGAGAAGGAAGGACCCGGACCCGGCTGCTTTCCACCAGTGTCTTTTATTAGTGAATGTAAAATACAGTACTAACAGACGGCATGCACTGCAGACGACAGGAAAGCAAGCCACAGAGACGAGAGTCGGCGCGCTGAGGGCCTCGGGACGTGTGAGGTAGAGCGAGGTGGTGCTGGGGGCGGGATGGGGGACGAGCACCGGCCCCACTCGGGACGACGGGCCACGGGAGGGCTGGGGCGCTGTGTCGGCCACGCGGAGACAGCGGAAAACGTTGCACATCCCTCACCCGTCCGGTTCCCCCCTTTGTGGACAGAGCTGCGGGGTTCCCTTGTCACTGGCGCTCTGGGCGTCTCCATGAGACGCCCTCCTTCCCTCCAAGGGCCAGGCCCCACTTGCCCTTGCCCGGAAAATAAAGGAGCTTTGTGTCGAAAACGCCAAGGCTGCCGTCCAGGGAGCTGGAGGCCAAGTGCGTTAAGAAAGACCCTTTTTCTCTAGAAAAATAGTTTCACTTTATAAAAGGAGGGAATGCTCATCTCGGGTGGGGAAAGATGTTGGTGTGTGAGGAACGTTCTCAGGGGGCTCCGTCGTGGGGGGTGGGGGCACACGTGTGGCCGGGGTCCTCTTCTCAGGCTGCACGGGGTTGGGTGGGAGGAGGGGCCCTCGTGGGCAGGGCCTGGAGGACAGGTGTCTGGGACAGCGGGCGCCCCAGGGTGCGGGGTGGGCAGCCCTGGCCTGCAGACGGGCGCTCAGTTGAGCAAGGTTCCATAGAGCTGGGCCTTCGTGAGGCTGTCCTTGCGGCTCAGCCCCGAGCCCCCAGTCCGCGGGAAGGCCGGCTGGGGGCTCAGGCGGGCGGCGGGGTGCATTTCGGGGGAGGCCTCCATGGAGCTGGGCTCCAAGGAGTCTCTGGAGCTATGGAGGCTGTGCTCAGGCTCAGGGCTGTCGGCCACCCCGCACAGGCGCCCCCCGAGCCTCTCCCCGTCTCCCTCACTGGCCGCATAGCTGGGCCTTGGGCTGGCGGGGCCGCCGGCCCTGAGGAAGCAGGGCTCTGCCAGGCGGCCCTGGGAGAGGTCGTCGCCCTCCGAGAAGCTGTCGGCCTTGTAGCTGGCATAGAGGGGGCTGGCGCGGCCCTCTGCCTTCTCGCCCGGGCTGCCCCCGCCGTAGTAGCGTTCGGGGAAGCTGCAGGGTGAGGCCCGTCGCGCCGCCACCGGGAAGGAGTAGGCGCCGATGTCCTCCACGCTCAGGGGCCGCCACTGGCTGCGTGCGTCCTCCCTGGGCAGCCGGGCCGACCCGGGCTTAGCGCGCAGGCTCCACAGGTTTGGGGGCACCAGGGCCTGCTGGGGGCCGGGGGAAGTCGGGTAGCGGTAGGGCTCGGCTGGGTAGGGGGACAAGGTCCGCGCGAACCCTGGGGCCACCTCGGCCTCCAGCGGGGCCGCCGCCGCCGCGGCCTTGGCGAAGCGCAGGCTGCCCTGGTAGGCGGCAGGGGGAGGCGGGCGCTGGAACCGCTGCTCGCGGCTGTTCACGTAGACGGCCTGCTGTGGCGGGGCCAGCGTGCTAGCCGGGCCCTGCTCCTTCTCCTCGGACGTGGCGCTGAAGCTCGAGTAGGAGCTGGACGTGGGCAGCGAGCCCGCGTAACCTGGGAAGGCCTCGCGCCGGAAGGCTGCCGGGAAGGCCGCCGCCTCGGCCTCCTCCTCCTCCTCTGCTGCGCTGTCGGTGGAGTTCTGAGCCCGCAGGAAGCCCACATCGGTCACAGATGCGTCCACGCTGGGCCGCCGGTCGCGCGGTGGCTCCTCGGGGCAGTAGAGGGCCGTGTCGCTGCAGTAGACATCCCCCTTGTAGGGGGGCCGCAGGCCCGGCTTCTCCGCCCTGTCGCGGAAGGTCAGGTCGCGGGCGGAGGCATCCGACAGGCGGGAGGACAGGCTGGCGGGGTCGGGCTTCTCCAGCACCTTGGCGATGACGCAGGCGGGCACACTGTCGGCGAAGGCCGGGCGGCACAGCGGGGAGGGCAGGCTGCAGCCGTGCTGCTCCAGGTGCAGGCTCACGCGCTCCTGGAAGTCCGAGGGCAGCTGCAGGGGGCGGTGGGAGGGGCGGGGCGGGGGCGGGGTCAAGTCAGCCTGGGGGCAATCCACCGACAGACAGAAGGCCCAAGGGGGACCTGCCCAGGGCCTCCCATGGGGCGCCCCTGGATGCGCCAGAGGATCCCTGGCCACCGCGGCCCCCATCCTGCTCTGGGCTGGGCCCCCAGAGCCCCGGCCTGACCCAGCGCCTCCAGGGGTCCCCTCCCCCTATTTCCTCCCACTGAGGGGATGACGTGCTCCCCGGTGGCGTCCCCGGTGCTTCTGAACAAGACAGAAACACATGCAACAAAGATCGAGGGCCAGGCGCCCAGCAGTTCCACAGGTGCGCCTGGTGCCTTGTGGGGACGTCCCGCTACTGTTTGATCTATTTTGTGAGTGTCTCAGAGTGGCCCAGGCCCAGGGCAGGGGGGTCCGGACAGAGGCCTGGGTGAGGGGGGTGGGGGGCCCTGGGTCAGCCTGACTTTGGCTCCTGGGGCCCTGTGTGTGGCCAGTTCTTTCCTCCGAGGTGGCACTGCCAGTCACTGTGCCCAAACCTCGCGGCAGAGTTTCTGTGAGGCTCGCAGGGGGCCGCTCAGTGGGTGGAGGGCTTGCAGCAGGGACAGAGAGCACCCCCAGAGGACACTGTGGGGGTCTGCGGGCTGTCCAGCTTGGGTGAGTGGGTGGGTGGGTGGGTGTGGGGTGGCCTGCCCCCACGTCTCAGGAAGGCCAGGACCCTGCCGGAGCAGGGGGGCTCCAGCTCACCCGGTATCTGCACCTCAAAGGTGGGGGTGGCCTCAGGGTGGGACCTGCACAGAGGAGCCCCGAGCTGCCGGCCCGGGGCGCCTGGGGGGCGGGGCTCGCGTTACCTCGGACACCTTATGGACCCTGCCGTAGGTCTGGCTGCACTGCAGCAGCTGGGCCGCTAGATTGCAGTCCTTCCTATAGAGCTCCTAAAAGACAAGAGAAGGCGTTGGCCTGGGCTCGTCCGCTGGGGTCCCTGCCGCCCTGACTGGAGCCCGGCGGGTGGGGTCCTCATGCTGAGGGCAGGACCGGGGCCGCCCCCTCCGGGCCACACGCTGCCGCCTACGGAATGGGGGCCTTGGGAGCTGCTGGTGCCTGGAGGGGTCCCTGCGGCCGGCCTGCGCGGCTGCAGAGGGAAGCCTCTCGCCTGGTGGGGCAGCGGTGGAGGAAGGGCCCCCACTGGCCCCTGAACCCTGGGAGGCCCTGGGCAGGAAGACGGGAGTCTCCGCAGAGTGCTCGGTGCGGGGCGCGGTGCGGCGAGGCCCGGGCCGGCCTGCAGCTCCTGCCACCGCCCATCCCTGCCTCCCTGCTCTCGCCCCGTGCTCAGAGTGGGGTCGGGCAGCAGGGTAACTGCAGGGCTGGGCCGGGGCAGAGCGCACGGGGCTGTGTGGCCCAGGTCCAGGCGGGGACCACTCAGCCTCCTGAGCTGAAAACAGATGCAAACAGTAGGACTCAGAGGATTTGGTTTCGCCTTTGGAAAATCTCTGTTGCATGTGCCTGTGGCCGGGCCTTTACTCCCGCCCCCACCTGGGGACCCTCCTCAGCGAGGGCTGGACATCAAAGAGGCAGGGTCCAACAACGGGCCCAGTGCCACCAGAACTGGTGTCCTGCAGCTCACGTGGGCTCTGGCCGGCGGGACCCCTGCTAACCCCCCAACCTGTTCCCCTCACCTACACCTGCCGTGTGAGGCTGGCGCCCCAACTGGGCCTGCACAGTGGAGGGAAGCTGGGTCTGCAGCCCCCTCAGGACCTCCTTGGGCCTCCCAGAAAGGGCGCAGATGGCCGAGAGCTGAGAACTGATCCCTCGCGAGGCCCCAGACAGGCTGCCCTGGCATCGGGGGCCGGGGGCACTGCCTGGCCTGCCCGGGCCTGCCCCTGCATCTGTGCGCGTTCCTCCGTGGCCTCGGCCCACCTGTGGCACAGACACCAGGCAGACACCACGCAGATGCCGGCCTCCGCCCCAAACGCAGACCTGTGTCTCCTCTCCAGTGTCCCTGTGCCGCGGAGCCCGCCTCCTACTCCTCCCCCAGGCCCACCTCCCCTGCCCCCCGCCAGAGCATGGCAGGACCATGGCCTCCTCTTACACCCACATCCAAGATCTGTCAGTCCTGTTGTTTCCTCTTCGGGTTCAGAACAGGCCCAGGACCCAGGCCCTCCCACCGACCTCTGCGGCTGCCATCCCGGCCAAGCTGCCACTGGCTTCACCAAGGTTGTTGCCGCGATCCACCCCCAGCCTCCCCGCACCCACCCTTGTCCCTACGGTGTGTTCTCAGCAGGGCGGCCACGTGAGCCCAGTAAAGCAGAGGTCCTGTCTGGCTACTCCTCTGCTCGAGAACCTCCGATGGCCCCCGGTGTTACTCGGAGTAAAACCCAGACCCCCGCAGGCACCTACGCAACGTGGCCTCCCGTCGCCTGCTGGGCCTCGGCTCCGGACTGCGCCCCCACGAGGAGCCCACTCCGGCCCCTCTGCTGTTCTCCGAATCCCCCAGGCCCCCCTGGGCCACTCGTCCCTGGACACCCTGCAGGGCGGGGCTGGCTGCCCCTCCCCCTTCAGGTCTTGGCTCCGCCGCCGCTTCCAGAAGCGTCCTATTGAAGTTTGCCAGCCCTGCAACTGGTAACGCCCGGCACTGTTCCCTGCTTGATACTTCTAAGCAACATTGAGCGCTTCTAACATACCACACAGTGGGAGCGCTTGTCTACCGTCTGTCTTCCCTGCTCAGATGTGGACCCCACACGGGCAGGGGACCGTGGGCCGTGTTGTTCACACTGTACTCTCAGAGCCCCGGAGGGTCTGGCAGGGCGCGGGCACTGATCAGTGAGTGCATGGCCAGCGGTCCGGGATCCACGGAGGGCGGCTGGGCCCACCTGCTGGGGCCCCTGACGTCGGTTCCTGTGGGCGGCCACATGGCTCCCGTGCCCACGGGGCGGGGAAGCCCTGGCTTGAGTGAGAAAGTGCAGCCCAGTGTTCCCGGCCTCGGGTCCCGTTTCTTTCCAGGACGCCCCGGGCAGTGTGTCCGGCGAGGCAGCCCTGCCCTCCCACGACGGCCCCTCAAACCCGGGGGCTGCAGGGCCAGAAGGACCCGACACTCACGTTGTCCTCCGACAGCTTGTCGATGGTCACCTTGGCCTCCAGCAGGTGGCTGTTGAGGGCAACAATCTCATGGCTCAGCGCTCGCTTCTCCTCCTCATAGTGCTGGCCCTGGGGAGGGGGAGGGGCAGCAGAAGGAGGCGGTCGGTAGTCAGCGGTCAGCCCAGGCCTGGGGCTCAAGCCCAGTTGTTCCCTAAGGGCTCCTATGTGCCCTCTTGCAGTGCATCACGGTGAGCCGCTTGGAGGGCCACAGAGCGCCCCAGGCTCACACTCTGCGCCACCACCAAGCCAGATGGCCGCAGGTGAGTCGCTGCCTCTCAGAGCCTGGGTTTCTCATCTGCGCCGTGAGAGAGTAGGACTGCACTTCCAGGAGCCTGGGGTGAGGCTGAGCCGGGGAGCCTTGTGCTCAGCATGAAGCCTGGCCCATCTCACTCAACAGACTGGGAAACTGAGGCTCGGAGAGGAAAGGGCCCAGTCCAGGGTCCCAGCAGAGCCAGCCTGGTCCCCAGGCCTGCCTGCCATATGGCTGGCTGACAGCACCGTGAAGGCAGGCAGGTGCTGAACGCTCGTTTTGATTTTCAAAAACAAGAAGCTGGTAGCTGAGCTAGAAGGAGAGAGAACTCCTGCCTTGGGGGGCGGGGGAGGCAAGAGCACCCGCCCCGCCCCGCCAGGACGGCCAGATCTAGAAGCCTCCGAAGTCCGCGAGCACCCCTCGGCCCCTCCATGCCGCGGGCTAGCCAGCCGTCAGCAGAGGAAAGGCAGCACTGCGGGGTGTGGGGGCAGGCGGGCAGGCGCGGGAGTGTCTCCAGCATCCCCCGGGGCCAGGTGCCAGCACTGGCTCGCTCATTCCGCAGGGTAAGAGGACCACAGTTGGGGCGCACACCTGGCTCTGGCTCACTCAGGGCCTGAGCTCGGGCCTGTGCCCTGGGCTGATGCTGAGCTGGGGGCACCATCCCTTGTGCTTGTCCTCTCTCCCCGGGCCCTGCTCGCCCGCTTCCAGGTTGGGCGCTCACGCCGGCTGCTGAGGTGCGGGGTGGAGACCCGGTAGGTACCTGACAGAACCAAGAGACCCTCCCAACTCGGTGTGGGAAGGGCGGGGCAGGCCCGGTGCTGTGATGGCAGCAGCAGGGACATGGCTGTGCCAGGAAATAAGGCCTGTGGCCCAGCTCCTGCCTGGGCAAGGGGATACGGCGAGGCCAGCGAGGCCCCAAGGGAGCGGGGACCCAGGGGCGGGGGTGCTGGGCGGGGCCGCGGGCTTCGGGGTGGCCCTCACCATGCGGTACAGCTTATCCTCCAGCTCCTGGTTGATCCTCTGCAGCGCCATGTAGTTGCTCTGGATCCTGGAACAGGAGGCAACGGGGCCACCGCTGGGCTGGGCCCGGCCCGGCCCGGCCCACCACCGGGCACCCCCTGGTCTAAGTGCTCCTCCACAGAGCAGACAACATCCAGTTAGGGTGTCCAATCCGCGGCCCCAGGATGGCTGTGAATAGAGCCCACTTCTTCCATTGTGGCCCAGAGATGCCAAAAGGCTGGACTCCCCTGGCTAAAAGCACCTGGCTGGGAGCCTTTCCTGGGCCAGGGCCGAGGGCCCTGGAAGACGGGAGGGGAGGCCTGCTTTTCGCAGGCAGCCGTGCTGGGCCCTCGCTCGGAGCCAGCTTGCCCGCGGTCCACACCCAGTGCTGGCCGGCCTGGCTATGGGGTTCCCGTTCAGTAGCCCATCAGGAGGGAGAGCACTGAAGACTGGGGGCTGGGCCCTGGGTGAGCGTCAGTGGGGGACACGGTCCCCAGTGACGGCGGAGGGGAGCGTGGGGTGAGAGTGACGGCGAAGGAGCTTGGGACAGTGACTGTGACGGTCCCCTGGACAACCTGTGTCTCGTGGCATTCCCCCACCCCCAACACTGACAATAGGGAAATCGAGGCTAGAGGTACTGAAAGCAGTAAGTGGCAGAGCTGAGACTTTAACCTAGACTGTCAAGCTTGGCTCCCCCAGGACTCTAGGTGACGTTTAAAAAGTCCAGCAGGATGGGGCCCTTCGGGGAGGGACAAACAGCCTCGTCTCCGGCAAGTCCTGTCTCAGGCAGCTCCAGCCACGAGGCCCTATAAATAGTTAAAAGAAGCCAAGCCAACAGCACAGTTTGCGCTCTCTTTGCATCCCTCCTAAAGGAGGCTGGGAGGTGTAATACATTTCCAAAAGATCTCCATCTTCAGTGTGCAGAAGAACAGTGTGCTTGGAAAAGTTTGGTTTTTAAGGGAGTAATAACTCGGGTCCCACACTCCGCCGGGCACTTGGCTCACTGCCGTGCTGCTCAAGGGAACTGCGCCTAAACTCTGGTTCATCTCCAGGGCTAGAGGCCACTTTTCCCTTCACGGATTCAGGGGACAGTGGCTGGGCCCTGGGGAGCCAGCTGGGGTCCGGAGATGGCTGCTTCGGGTCGTGCTGTAGGAACGGAGGAGTGAGCAGGGGATGGGGAGGTGGCCGGAAGGAGCCTGACCCCAGCAGTGGCCAGACCAGGTTCACATCCTGGGTCAGTAGCTCTTGGCACAAAGCGCGGCTTTGGAAACAGAGTTTACCTTCCCTGGGCCCCCCACCTGCGGCCGGAGCGGCTGGAGCGGCCGGCTCGCGCGAGGCAGAGCGCCCGCCGGCGCCGCAGGTCTCCGAGCCCCGCCCCGGCCCCGCCCCCGGCCCGCCTCGCCCCGCCCCCTGACCTGCGCAGCTTCTCCGTGACCTTCTCCAGCTCCTCCTGCGCGCGCCGCAGCTCGATCTCCAGGTAGTGGCGCGTGGAGTCGAACTCGGTCTCGAGCTTCTCGAGCTTGTGCGTGGTGTAGGACAGCCGCTTGCGCAGCTCGCCCTTCTGCTCCTGCAGCGCGCTGCAACGACACGCGGCGGCGGGCCGGGCCGCGGCGCTGAGCGCGGGAAACTGAGGCCCGTGCGGGCCCGCCGGGCGCGCCGCGGGTGCGCGCCGCGTGCGCCCGGCCGCACTCACACACTCGCGCGGGCGCGCGGGCGCCACCCACGACCCCTTCCCAGCGGGCCCCCCTCGAGGCTTAGAGACCCTCGGGGTCAGTCCTTATGCCTCCAGCAGCGCCCGGTCAGAAGTCAATCCCTGCGGAGTCACCTTGTTGACCACAGAACCCGGCCAGTGACTGGGGGGCTGCGGGACCCTGGACAGGAGGAGAACGCCCATCGGCACCCAGGCTCCTGAGGACGACTTCTGGACGTCACAGCTTACGCGTGGCCCCACTTTTGCTCCTCCGCAGCGTTGGGAAAGGACGCTGCGGCCCAGAGATGGCAATGCCATGCCCTAGACCAAGCCTCCCGCCCCTAAATTGGCTGTGTGGCCCCAGCGAGCTGTGCGCCGTCCGGGCCAGGGAGAGGGCAGGCAGGGATGCCCAGCGACCAGAACGGTGGTCGGCTAGCTGCCCACAGCATTGGACGGTCAGGAAAGCCCAGGCCTGCACTCATTCCCCCTCCTCCAGGAAGCCTTCCAGGGCCCAGGCCCCGCTCTTGAGGCTCTATTTTCCCCACAGATGGGCCCCAGGACACTGAGCCCTGATGCTCAGAAAGCAGAGACATTGGATCAACCGCCCCCTGAACTGCATGCTTCCCCTGGGAAGGAGGGGCTGTCCCCATCTCGTCCCCTGGACACAAAGCCCTGGTCCGAGAAAAGTTCTGCCCAGAGAGATGTCCCGGGCTGAGGGCTGAGGGCTTATGGCAGCCCTTGTCCCAGGCACCAGCGGGATCTGTGCCCTTGTGGAGGCAAGGCCATTACCCAGCCACCCCGTGGCCCTGAGCCCCGTGGCCACCCCCTCCTCTAGCCACACACCCGGGCCATCGCTGGGCGCTTCTGGACCCTGGCACTTGAGACCTGCGATCCCAGCTCACTGTGCCTCTCGCACCGGCCTCGCTCCACCCTGGAGACCAAGTGTCCACCGGAAACCCCACAGCGCCCCTCGGAGCCGCCTCTCATCCCGACCTGGGCCCCCCACCCAACACAGGCACAGCGGGGGCCCTGCCCTCGCACAAGGCCCACCCCTCCGGTGACCCGTAAGCCGCACCTACAACCCGCCCACCACCGCCCTCTCGCATCCTCTGCCCCCGCCCCCCGCCCCGCCTCTCTCAGGGCACCTCCCAGCCCCAAGTAAGACAAACACAAGTGCGCCCTGCAAGGCTGCGGTCTCAGGGGAGACACCATGACAAGGGAACAGCTTTGTCAATGAGGCGAGTGTGGGAGGAAAACATGACAGAGCTGTGGGCTGGGTTCTAGGCCGAGCCGGAACCGCCCGGGGCCCCGGGAAGTGACCTCCCACTCCCGAGGTGCCCACCCTCAGCGTCTCGGTCTGCCCTTGGCCTCTGGGTGGCTTTCCCAACGTCCTGGGCAGCTCTGTCCTGCCGCCCCTCAGAGGCCGCTCCCGCCCGCCCTGAGCCGACACTCGGCCACTCCGAGCTGCACCCCAGCCCTTCCCCGGCTGGCCGCACGCCCTCACTCCACCCCGCCGCGGCCCGCCTGCTTGCCAACCGGGATACTCGGTCACAGCAACCCCCAGGGCCCCATCACTGCCCATCTCTGCCACCCCGGCTCTGCCCTGTCTGCAGGCCCCATAACCTTGCCCAGCCTGGTCCTTGGGACCCTGGCTTGCATCCCCGCCCCTCCCCGCACGTCTCAGAGTGAAGCCCCTACATCCGGACCCGCACAGACCCCTCCCAGGGCCCTGCTCCCCCAGGTCCAGCCACCCACCGGCCTCTCCCCCCAGACGACCCACAAGCCCCTCACGCTCGATATGTCCAGCGCTGACCACTCCCTGCCCCAGCAAGGGCACGGCCACCCTCAGTCCCCAGTCAGACTGTGAAAGGCCGTGGTGACCCCTTTGCCCCTTGCATCCTGTCACCAAGTGTTGGGGTTCAGCTTTTCAGGAGCTTTGGATGTGTCCCCACCTTGGTCTGGTCCCTGAACGGCCCTCCCCTTCCAGGGCACCAGCCCGAACCCTGCCTGACCTCAGCCTGCCTCCTTGCCCGTAAGCGGGTGTGTGCCCCCACCCAGGGAGGAGGGCTGTCGCTGTGGCCCCGGCCCCTCCCTGGGACATTGGAACCATTGAGCGACGATGCTGGAGTCAGGCCCCATGTGGAAGCTGGGGACGTGGGGGGGCTGGCAGCCCGGGCTCAGCAGCTTGGCCTCCGCCCCATGGGAGTTGGCTCCAGGCCCTGGCACCCGGAACGACCCCGAGATGTACAGGGAGGGTGGGGAGGTCCTGCCAATGCCACGCCCCCCCGGGTCAGGGCGGGGGCTGGGGAACCCTGCTCAGATCGCAGCCTGGTGAGGTCCCCTGAGTCCGGGCGAGGTGAAGCGGGATCTGAACCTGACCTGGCGGCTGGGGGGTGGGCACCCCCCGTTCCCTCCTTGCCCACGGGAAGCCCGGAGACGCTGTCCTGCCTCCCGGGAAAGAGGGATAAGCTCGCTCGTGCGGGGTGTGGGGCACGAGGGCGTCGCTGGCCTCCGGGAAGGGAGCAGGGGACGTGCCGGTGTATGGCGCCCTTCCTTCTCGGGGCCTGCCCATCTGCCTTGGGGAGTTGGCGTGGACAAGGGATGCAGGGACACCAGGGGCCGCGGAGACAACAGGCATGTTACCTGTCCCAGAGCGAGGGCGAGGACCTGGCCAGCCGGCCCTGCAGGACGCGGGGCTGCCCGAGGCACGAGGGCACCCAGGGGCTGCGCAGCCTGTGGGCGAAGAGGACAGAGCTGCTCAGATCGGGGTGGGGCCGCGCCAGGCCTCCAGGGGCACACCCCGCGGGGAGGGGGGGCCGCCGCCAGCCGGCCGGGGGCACCTGGGCGGGGTGGCTGGGGGTGCGGGGTCGGGACGGGGGTGCTCCCTGCCTGTGCTCCTGCCGCCCTGGCTGGCCAGCCTCACATCCGAGCTACTGACAGCGCCGAGTCCCGCCGGGGGCAGGGCCACCTTCTGGCGCCCTGTCCCTTCGTGGGCCTGCGCCTGCATTGCAGCCCCGGGGGCAGCCCTGGGGCAGGCTCCCCAGCTCTGGGTTCACCAGGCGACTGCTGGTCTTCGCCTGCAGGGCCCACTGGGAGGTGGGGTGGGGGCTGACGTGTGTGGACAGTCGGGCGCGGGAGCTGGGGCCTGGGACACATGGGGGCCCGGGCAGGCTCGCTTCACCCTCCTCGGGACCCCTTCTCACCCTGCCCTGCCTGTGGCCTGTGGGGGCTGCGTGGTGGGTGGGGTGGACGCAGCATGCACAAAAGTGAGAAGGGACAGCACCGCCCTATGGAGGGGAAGAGGGCGTCCATCCGAGCCTTGTGAGCCTGCCGGGCACCTCCCGCGGTCTCTCGGGGTCTTGGCGGCCCGCCGGCCCCCGACAGAGGGAGGCTCCCGAGACCGCTGGGCGGCGTGGTGCCCAGCACCAGGGCGTGAGGAGAAAGGGCAGTGTCATCCCACCGAAAAAACAGCCGCCCACAGAGGCCCCAGAAAACAACGGAAGGAAAGGACTGTTGCTTTGGGACGCTGGAAGGTGGGATTCTGGGTAATCTAAATCTTCTTTTATACTTTGCTGGTTCTGTCCTAATTCCTGCGGTGAGGACGAGAAAAATCAAAGGAAAATTTTTACTAAGGATAAATTTTGGTCCAAAAAGAGAGGAAGATCTTTGGCGAGGATGTGACGTGCGCAGGGCACGGCAGGGGCACTCCCCGCCTTGGCAGCGGCCCCACTTCCCTCGGCTGCCAAACAGGCCGCCCTGCCCGCGGGGCTGGGCCTGCGGCGGGAGGCCACTGTGCCCCGGACAGAAGCGAGGGCGCGAGCCACCTGCCGTCGGGTTCTCGGCAGGGCCAGCGACCGCCGTTGAGTGAGCCGGCGTGACCGAGCCTCGGGCCCCAGGGGTGCTGACCAGGCTCAGGGTCACCGCCAGCAGGGCACATGAGGCCACCCTCCTGCGCTTGCCACTAGATGGACAGAGGGTTGGCCCAGGCGCCAGGTGACCTGCACTGAGTCGCGAGGGCTGCAGTGATCTCGGTGCCCTCACCCTGTGTGTCTGGTGTGCTGGGACCCCGGGAGCAGCGGGGGTTCTGGACGTCAGCAGAGGCCTGGCTCCTCCTCCAGGGAGTGGCTGGCGCAGGGACGGGGCAGGGGTGTGGGGTGTGGACCAGACCAGCCAGGCCAGCTCTGGGTGGCTATTGGACCGGCCGTGGGTCTTCAGGGACAGGGGTGGGGAAGGGACTCGTAGCCCGAACCAGGCGCGTCCCACATCTCAGCCTGGGAGGAGCGACCTCGTCAGCCCCGTTAGGACAGGTGCAGATGGCTGCAGCCAGCGGGGGCCGCCAGCGCCCCGACCTGGGCCGGGGACACTGACCGGGCTGGACCCTGACCCCGACACAGCTGCCTGAAGGCAGGATGACCGGATGTTTTGCTCTCAAGCCAGTTGGACCTCCCTCCATCTCCCCCTTCTGAAAGGGACCAGTGGCCTCTTCATTCCTTTCTCTGAGTCCCTCCAAACGTGGCCACACACATCCGTCCTCCAGGGCACGATCCGTGCGGCCCGTCCCCTCCTGCCGGAATGGCCCTTGCCTGCGTCCCCAGACCCCCTCCTTTCTTGTGAGGCTTAAGTGCCACCTCTTCCAGGAAGGCTTCCTTGGTTCCTCCCTCCCTTTTCTCATCTCTCCCCATCAGTCCCAGACTGCCTCCTGCTGCCCCTCCACCACTTGCGGCCACCGGGGCTCTGGCCTGGGCTCTCCGCCCTCTCTGCTCCCCTGCAGGCCTATGGCAATGTGACGGGGCTGGGCGCGAGGCGGCTGGAGGGGCGTTGGCGGGGCCGAAGGAGTCTGAAGGGGCCGAAGCTGTCCCACAGCCGGGCGAGGGCGCGCGTCCCTGT